ATTGCACTAATCTCTTAAATTTGAGACTTAATCTTCGGTAAAAACTGTTTATTTGTTTTGGATTTTTATATGTTTAATATTTAAATGAATTTAAAATAATAAAGCTATTTTAATTAATTTATATAAATATATGTATAGTACCCTAGAGTACTCTGCCTTTTTTAAGGTTATACACTAAAATTTTGGACACTAATAATTTCCATTTAGTATCTCAAAAATAAAATTTTGTTTTATACATAATCTTTAGTTATGTTTAATTCTAAATATTATATTTAAATCTTTATTCACAAATAAAAATCAATAATTATTTTTTAACATTAGTAAGTTCTATTTTTCTTATTTTTTCTTCATTTTTTTCTTCTAACTAACTAATTAATTATAAATATATTTTCTTGAATATTAAAAAGTTGTAATAATATTCGTGCAATTGGTGCATCAAGTTTATTTTCTGCTTTAGCTAAATGTACTAATCTCTAATGTTTGGCACTTTATTTTGGGTAAAAATTATTTCTTGTTTTAAATTTTGATATTTTACAAGTAAACAACAATAATACCAACTCTTTTAATTTATTTATTAGCTTTTTATTTGATTTATTTTTCTTTCTTATTTATTCTGCTTATATTTTTTCTTTCTTTGTTAGTTTAATTCATTCATTTTTTTATTTTAAATTTTTACATTGATTATTAGTTTATTCATTTGTCATTATGGCATATTTTTCTTTATTTTTTCCTTCTTACTAACTAATTTATTAATTATATAAATTTTTTTCAATATTTAAAAAGCGATATTAAGCTTGATACAATTGATTCATTATGCTTAGATTCTACTTTAAAAAATTGCACTAATCTCAAAGATTTGACACTCTCTCTTGTGTAAAAACACTTTAGTAGCTTTTGAATTTTGTTATTTAAAAAAAGATAAATTTAAAACTTTAAAACTCTTTTGATAAATTAATTTATTAGCTTTTTATTTGATTTTTTTTTCTGTTTATTCCGCTTCTGTTTTTTCTTTTAACATTTTCTTTTATTTAAAATTATTTCATATTAATTATTTTTTCTTTTTTACTAACTAATTAATTGAAATATTTTTTCTTGAATGTTTGAAAGTTATAATAATATTGGTGATGAAGGTGTATTAGGCTTAGGTTTTGCTTTAGCAAAATATGCTAATATCTCAAATTTGACACTTAATCTTAGGTAAAAACAGTTTACTTGATTTGGCTTTTGATATTTTTAATGCGAAAATGAATTTAAAACACTAAAGCTCATTTAATTAAATTATTTGCTTTTTATTAGGTTTATTTTTCTTAATTATTAAGCTTTTTTTATTTATTTTGCTTTGATTATTGATTAATTCATTTTTGTTTGAATTCATATTATTTCTTCATTTTTTCCTTAAAGTTAGAATTAAATTGGTTGCAAAGGGGCATCAGGTTTATGCTCTGATTTAGCTAAGTGCATTAATCTCTCAAATTTGATACTTAACCTTTAGTAAAAATAGTTTATTTGTTATGAATTTTGATATTTCACTATAAAAAAAATGTATTTAAAACAATAAAATTCTAATAATTTATTTATACTATTTTTATTTGATTTATTTTTCTTATTTACTCAACTTTTGTTAAATTTTCTTTTATTTTAACTCACTCATATTTTTATTTTGAGCTATTTCATTGATTATTAATAATTTATTTCATATTTTTTCTTCCTTTTTTCCTTCTTACAAGTTAATTAATTAAATAAATTTTCTTTAATATTTAAATAGTGATAATAAAATTAGTGACGAAGGTGCATTAGGTTTAGGTTGTGCATTAAAAAATTGCTCTAATCTCTAAAATTTGATACTTAATCTTAGGTAAAAACAGTTTACTTGTTTTAAATTTTCATATTTTTTAACAGATAAATAAATTTAAAACAATAAAACTCTTTTCATTTATTTTTTGATTTTACTTTTCTTTTTTATTTTGATTGTATTTTTTTCTTTCTTAATTTAATAGATTGATTTTTTATATAAAAGATTTACTTTGATTATTGACTAATTTCTTATTATTTCATATTTTTCTTCATTTTTTCTTTCAAACTAACTAAATAATTTTATTACTTTCTTCAATATTTAAAAAGTTACAATTAAATTGGTGATGTAGGTGTTTCAGGCTTAGCTTCTGCTTTATAAAAGTTGAATAATCTCACAAATTTGACACTTGACCTTTTGTAAAAAAAGATTACTTGTTTTGGATTTCAATATTTCTGAATAAAAAAATGAATTTAAAACAATAAAATCCTTTAATTTAATTATTAATTAATTTTTTTTTATTATTCTTTTTTAATTCAAATTCTATTTTATTATATACTGAAGAAAATATTATTTAAATTTAAAATAGTTAAAATACATCATAAAATTTGAAAGTATTGAGCAAGTGCCTTAAATCAAAAAGATTAGTAGTCTTTAAATAGTTTGATTAATTATGATAAACATATTGCACATAAACGATGAATAAATATAAAATAAATATAATGTATTTTATTTATAATATTTCGTAAGATAACACTTAATCAAAAAATAATTTATAATTAAGATTATTTTTATATAAATATAACTATCATTGCTGGAATAGTTATTTTGCTCGTAGGGAATATAAATAAATATATTTAGTAGAATAGTAAATAAATATTTTTTTTAAACTAAAACAAAATTTAAAATAAATAAAAAAAGTTTTGATAAGGAGATAAAAATGTTTATTCAAATATCTAATTTTTTGATGAATAAAAAATCGTTTTGACAAAAAAAAAATTTTTTGATTTTAATCACTGATTAATATCTAATTTATATCTATGATATAAATGATTTGCATTTATTTAATTTGATAAAACAGTATATTTGTTTTTAATAAACCATTTATTAATTTAACAAAATATAATATTTATAAATATAAATAAAAAAATAATAAATAATAAATTTATCTATCTATAATTTAGGTTAAATTATTTGGTTAAAAAATATAAAAAAGAAAAACATATTACATATATATTATTTAAGTATTTTTATATTTATCCATTATTTTTTCTCCACTTTTTTATCAGATACACTTTATTTTTAAGACAACTAATCTTTTAATTTTGAGACTCTTTACTTTCAATTTTTATGAATTATTGATTTTGTTGTATCTTTTATTTTAAATTATTAAAAAAAAATAAATACAATAAAATTTTAAAATAAGATATTAAATTTTAAGTTAATAAAACATAAAATTAAAAGAATAAAAAAGAAAAATAAATAAAATCAAATCAAATCATTATAAATTAATTAAATGAGTTAGTTTGTAAAATTGTTTTAAATTCGTTTTTTTTACGAAAGATTTAGTGTAAAATTTGAGAGATTAGTGCAATTTGATAAAGCAGAAATTAAGCCTGATGCACCAATTAAATCAATTTAATTAAGCCTTTTTATATATTGGAGAAAAAAATATAGTTAATTAATTAGTTAGAAGGAAAAAATGAAGAAAAATATTAAATAATTAGAAATTAATTAATGAATTTATAATAATATAAGCAAAAAATAAATATCAGTTAAATTAACAAATAAAATAAAAAGAAAAAAAACAAGCGGAATAAACAAAAAGAGAAAAATAAATCAAATAAAAAACTAATAAATAAATAATTAATTAAAAAAGTTATTTATTTTCGTTTTTACTAAAGATCAAGTGTCAAAATTTAGATATTAATGCAATTTGCTAAACCAGAACCTAAGCTTGATGCGCCTCCATCAGCAATTTTATTCAACCTTTTTAAATATTGAAGAAAAAAAATGTAATAATAAGAAACGAATTAGTAAATTAATTAAAAGCAAAAGTTAAAAATAAAAAGATGAATTAAAGAAAGAAAAAAATAAAATAAGCAAAATAAAAAAAAGGAAATGGAAATCAAATAAAAAAATTATAAATAAATTAAATTATTATATTCATTTTTATATTAAAGAATATCACAACCCAAAACAAATAATATGTTTACTATAAATCAAGTGTTAAATTTGAGAGATTAGTGTATTATGCTAATGTAAAACCTAAACCTGAAGTACCTTCATCACCAATTTCATTGTAACTATATAAATATTGAATAAAAATTAAAGAATTAACTAGTTAGGTAGAAGGAAATATTAACAAAAGATAAGAAATAATAAGAAATAAATTAAAGTAAAAGTTGAAAATGAAAATCAAAAAATAAATTAAATAAACAAATAAAAATAAAAACACAAAAGGAATAAAAAAAGTAAAATAAATCAAAAAAAAGCTAATAAATCAATTAAAAGAGTTGTATTGTTTTGAATTTAAAAAATGCCCCAATCCAAACCAAATAAACTTTTTTTACTTAAGACCAAGTGTTAAGCTTGATAGATTAGTACACATTTCTAAAGTAGAACTTAAGCCTTTAACACCAATTGCACCAATTTGATTGTAACTTTTCAAATATTGAAGTTAATACTAAAAATGGAGAAAAATATGAACAATAAGAAAGGAATTAATAGTTAAAAATAAAAACATAGTTGAAAATTAAAAGATGAGTAAAATTAATAAAGAATCAAAAACACAATCAGAATAAATCAAATCTAATAAATTAATTAAAAGAGTCATTTTTATTTAAAAAAATACACAATCCAAAATAAGTAAACTATTTTTACTCAAGACGAAGTATCAAATTTGTGAGATTAGTGCAATTTGTTAAACCAGAAACTAAACATTATGCGCCAATTGAACCAATTTAGTTATATCTATTTAAATGTTGGGAAAAAAACTATATCTTTAAAGAGTTATAAGAAATTAATTAAATGTAAAAGTTAAAAATAAAAAATTAGTTAAATTCATAAATAAACAAAAAAAAAAATCAAAAGCATATTAAAAAAAAGAAAAAGAAATCAAACTAAATCTAACAAATAAATTAAATGAGTATTGTTTTTAATTCATTTTATATTATAATATATCACAATCCAAAACAAATAAATTGTTTTTACGCTGCATCAAGTATCAAATATTAGAGATTAGCACAATTTGCTAAACCAGAACCTAATTTTGATGCTTTCTCATCATTAATTTAATTTTCACTTTTAGATATTGAATAATATTAAAGAGTTAATTAATTAGTTTGTTATCTAGTTAAAAGGAAAAAATGAAGAAAAAAATGAAATAAGAAATAAATTAATATAAATGAAAATTAAAGTTGAAAATGAATAAATAAGTTAAATTAACAAATTAAGATGAAAAAAAAACAAAAGCATTAAAAAAAAGAAAAATAAATTAAATAAAAAGTTAAAAAATAAATTAAAATAGTTAGTTTACATTTTTACATTAAGAAATATCACTATCCAAAACAAATAAATTAAACTGTTTTTACCTAAGATGAAGTACCAAACTTAAGAGATTAGTGAACTTACCTAAACCAGAACCTAAGACTGATATATTTTCACCACTAATTTTATTGTCACTTTTTAAATATAGAAGAAAAAATATATTGTTAAATAGTAAGTTGGAAGGAAAAAATCAAGAAAAAATTATGAAATTATGAGAAATGAATCATTAACTAAAAAGAATAAAATTTAAAAATAAAAAAATGAGTTAAATTAACAAACAAAAAAATAAAATAATTGCAAGCAGGAAAAAAAAAGCAATTAATTTGTCATTTTTAAATATAGAAGAAAAAAATAATTAATTTGAGGAAAAAAGAAAATATGAAATATAAAAAAATGAATAATTAATAATCAAAATTGAGTGAAAATTTAATTAAAATAATTAAAAGATATTTGTATAAATAAAAATTAATAAATATAGAAGATAATTTCTATTAGAAAAAAATATGGTAAATAACTTGAAAATTTAATTAAAAAAAAAATTTGTTGTAATAATTTAAATAAATTAAAAAAACCTCAGATCAATATGGAGAGCTTAATATGATTAAAGTGAAGAGTTTAAAAACTATTTAATAAATAAAAATAAATTTAAACAAAATTAATAAAAAATTAAATATTTACTTCTTCTAGATTGTAAAAATATTTTTTGTCTTATATCATTTATTTATTTTTTTAAGAATGTTAAAAATAAATAAATAGAAATTTAATTAATTAAAATTATATATAACAAAAAATTAGTCCAGCATTTATTATATATTAAATCTTAATATTTTTTGAAAACATGCACTTAATTATATAAAATGTAAAAACTGGTATATTATTCGCTTTTTGAAAATTTTTATGGCAACTCACCTATTTAATAAAATATTTTTTCTTCAATATTTAAAAAGTTCTAATAAAATTGATGATGAAGGTGCATTAGGCTTATGTTCTAGTTTAGCAAATTGCATTAATCTCTCAAATTTGACACTTGACCTTCGGTAAAAACAGTTTATTTGTTTTGGATTGTGATATTTTTAATTATAAAAACTAATTAAAAACAATAAAGCTCTTTTTTCTTTTTCTTTTCATTGTGCTTGTTTTTTTTTGTTCTTTCTTTGTTAATTTATTTAGCTCATCCTTTTATTTTCAAATTTTTTACTTTTATTATTAATAAATTAATCTTATTATTTCATATTTTTCCATCATTTTTTCCTTCTAATTAACTATTTAATGATTTATTTTTTCTTCTATATTTAAAAAGTTTCAATAAAATTGGTGATGAAGTTGCATCAGGCTTAGGTTCTGGTTTATCAAATTGCATTAATCTCTCAAATTTGACACTTGTCCTTAGATAAACACTGTTTATTTGTGGATTGTGATATTTTTAATTATAAAAACTAATTAAAAACTATAAAGCTCTTTTTTCTTTTTCTTTTTCTTTTTCTTTTTATTGTGCTTGCTTTTTTTTGTTCTTTCTTTGTTAATTTATTTAGCTCATCCTTTTATTTTCAAATTTTTTACTTTTATTATTAATTAATTAATCTTATTATTTCATATTTTTTTTTCATTTTTTCCTTCTAATTAACTATTTAATGATTTATTTTTTCTTCAATATTTAAAAAGTTGGAATAAAATTGGTGATGAAGGTGCATCAGGCTTAGGTTCTGGTTTAGCAAATTGTATTAATCTCTCAAATTTATCACTTGACCTTCGGTAAAAACAGTTTATTTGTTTTGGATTGTGATATTTATAATTATAAAAACTAATTAAAAACAATAAAGCTCTTTTTTCTTTTTCTTTTCATTGTGCTTGCTTTTTTTTGTTCTTTCTTTGTTAATTTATTTAGCTCATCCTTTTATTTTCAATTTTTTTGCTTTTATTATAAATTAATTAATCTTATAATTTCATATTTTTTCTTCATTTTTTCCTTCTAATTAACTATTTAATAATTTATTTTTTCTTCAATATTTAAAAAGTTGGAATAAAATTGGTGATGAAGGTGCATCAGGCTTATGTTCTAGTTTA